TGAGCCTAAAACGTTAAGTTTTGCAATATCCTAACCAGTGATTAAACTTTATTGATCATAAGACCGATTCATTCAATTCTCTCAAAGAGAACAATCTTAAAAGTCATTACACTTCACTGGTAGCAGAAAAAAACTCCAGCAATGCACGTTTAATTTGCACCAACATTACCCTATTTGACAGTTGAAAAGTAAGGCTGTACTCCTATCATATCTACCCCACACACACATGCAAAAACCCAAACAAAAAAAAAAAAAACACCAAACAAACAAAAACCCAAACCACCAAAACCCATAGCTTTAATTTTACTCTCTGCTAGTCTTCTGGTTAGAAGTAATTCAATTTAGAACATATATTTAGCACCCCAGAAGCTCTTAAAATCATGCAAGTATTTATAGACAGGATCATTTGTAAGTACTCCGGAGTGACTCTTACCTACATAGCGTTCCACATCTAAAACAGAGAAAGTTGGAGGAGGAAGTCTGAGCCCCAGACCATCTAATTTAGCAACCATAATGGGAACATCAAACCCATGTTTCTCCAAGTATCTTTGTGTCAACTGGCTTCCATGCATTTTCAAAATGACTTCATCAGCACTGATGGAAAGAAAGAATGGAAAATAAGCAGAAAAGCATCCTCCAAGCACTACTGGAAAAAAAAACATGTCACAGTCTGGGAGAGGACAGATGGGAATGGCTACATTTGAATCCAAAAGAAGTGGACCCAGTACTATTATATTAAACATTTAACTAGAAGACAAGAAAATGACCTAAACCAGCAAGGAAATGTTTACTGTCATGCATAACCTGGGAACTCATAGTCTTTCTATATGACTGAACACAGTAATTTAAGAGGATGGGGAAAAGGAATTCTCAGAGAAGGCATTAAAGTGCATTTTGGTAACAACAACAGCCTCCTTTAATGAATTGTAAGCCATTGTGTTTCAGTGAGATAGCCAATCTCAGAGAGCTCAGGATGGAAGTATGACCATGTTTCTCCACTTCCTTCTAAAGCCTTTGAGATTGGATAGACTACCAGCTCGTATAAATGTTCTACATTATTTGGAATGAAACTGAGAACTACTCCTGAACTAGAGGAATGGACAGACAACATTCTGACAGTTCAGGCACAAAAAAGAAAAACTAAAACCAACCACTCTTGCTACTGCCCCCACTCCCCCACAAAAACTAACAAACAAAACCACAAAAACTCAAACCCCCCACATCAACCTGTAGCAGTCCTGACAGACAACATATCCCAGTGCAGAACTGAACAGGGGAAGCTACTGCATGAAAATGCAAAGGCATCCATCTGAAACAGGGATGGAGCAGGGGGGATTCTAAAGGAGGAGGAAGTCATCCTCGACCTTCATTTTCTGAAGCAGAGAAATGTTATTTGCCTGCCCTAAGACACACTCAGTGACGACATTTCTCTATTACGTTTTTCACCGAAATGTATAACCAAGCTTCTGTACCTTGGGAAAGAGCGAGCCCGCAGCTGTTTAACAAAGGTCCGCGTTCCAGCCTGCACTGGTTTGGAACCATCATCCAACTCTGTGTAGTCGTGTCTGTGCCAGTTCCTCCTCTTCTTCACTGCAAGTTTCAGAAGGATTAAACTTTGAATTAGTTAAATCAGATGGCTCAGATTAGCTGTCACTCCATCAGTGAGCCAGACAAGCCTCAATCACATTACTATGATGAACAAACCTTATTGTTTATGCAGGTGACACCTATCTGCAACTAACTAAATCTTCAGGACACCTGACAGTCATCCTCTATACTTCTATAGCTGCTTCTATGTGAGAACCTCAGTGCACGTTATACACAATGATTTAAGACTCCATATCCAGTACAGCACAAGTAAACAGCAGCAGCCTGAAAGTTGTCCAAATCTAAAAGGTCAGCAAGAAAACTAGAAATAGAACTTTAATTCCCTAAAGCTTGGACTTTTTTTTTTTTTTTTAATAAACAGAAGAATTGTACCGCTTCAAGATCCATAGACTTCATTTTATGTATTAACACAGAATTAACAGGACCTGATCCCATTGTGCTATCTCACCATATGAGCATAGCCATATCCACCCTGATAATATTACTGCTATTCACTACCATATGCTTTTCAAAACCAAACCACCTTTCTTTTATCCACTGCTTACGTCTCCGTAACAGTTTTGGGCATAAACTGTTCTGGGCACATGTGATCTTTACTATGCAAGCACAATACATATAACACAAGCATTGCACCCCAAATCAATCAACTTTTGAGTTGTTAGGTTGTGTTTCAGTTTTTCCTAAAAAAGCCACACTCTGCTCCACAGCATTAGATAGTTACTACTGGAAGACTGCCCCAAGAAGATTTACTGAGACCAGATCTATAATTTAACTAATATTAAGCAGAAATGTAGTTGCATCTGCTGAGGAAACACAGAAGAGGGAAAAGCTATTGTTACTTGTCAACACAAATGGTGTTTTGCAGGCATATACAAATCAGCCTACAATGCAAATACAACACCCGGCTAAACAACTGTATTAATACAAATTTGAACTTTATGACAGAGCTCATCCTTAAGTTTACCAAAGTCACGATGCACCCAAAATCTAAGAAAAGTGCTGGCTATACTGAAAACACAACTAACAGTAACAGTAAGCTAAGGATTTAAGAATAAAAAAAAGTAGCTTCTGAAAAGAAAAAAAAACGCTGCTTCTCCAGAAAAAACAGTTGGTTATATAGGAATAACTGACATCTTAACTGTAATTACATATAAGAGGTAATTATTCCTACTGATAAGCCGTTTCCTACAGAAGTGACAAAATGTACCCTTTAGAAGACATTTAAGAGAATAAACTGTCATTTATGGCTATTTGCTAACCTGAAAACCAGTGCTGAAGCACCTGCTTAATGAGCCAACTATCCAAATACAGTAAAACCTCATAAATAATGAAGCCAGGTTTATTAAGTTTTCAAAGCTATTTTCTCACTCATAAATAATAATACAAGAAATTAGTGGCTAATACTAATCTGCAACAGAGTAGTTTCTCATAAATTCACTGCTGTTGTAACAGCTCATTAAAACTGTAAGATGATACAGCTGCTTAAGAGATTTTATAGCACAAAACCAACTTTTAAAAATCCGTCTTTCTAAAACTTAAAAACTAGAAATTAAAGTTGGTTTTCTGCTTTTCTTAGTACTTGGCATCCTTCAGTAAGTAAGAGAACACTGAAGAACAGAACACAGTATTGAAAACTTTTCCATTTATGTATCTCTTAATTCTAGAGCTTTTATAACCCCTTAAGACATTACAATAACAGCTGCAAGAAAAATAATTTAACTGAATGGATCCTCATGCTCAAATTAAAAATAAAAACCCAAACTACTACATAAGTTGAAATGCACATGTAACACCTCCCCCTCGCAACCATTCCAAACTAGTGGAAGGAACTAGTGTTCAGCCTTGCTGTTCTGGAAAACTGAGGCACACACAACTGTGACAATAGTAAAAATACACACGCCAAAGTACACCAGACAGTTGCAGGGGGGTTGAGAAAAGGAAAGGAGTGTGCTGGAAGTTTTCATGACAAGTAAGCAAAAAGCTATTTTTAAATTTCATTCCTTACGCACTCAAAACAGTGGGCCAGTAACTGTACCTACTTCAGGTAAACACTATTCCTTGTCTTCTCACACTACTAGGCTGTCTCAGAGGTCCCATGCTAGACTTCAAATGGGGACCATCAAGAGGTATACATCTGTACAATGAGGCCTCAAGTCTTGGAAGTGGTCCTCTAGGTGATCCCAGTGACCAAAAAGGCAAGAGAAATGTTAGCATAGGAAGACTGGAAAAATTTTGAGGCACATACAGTAAGCCATACAATACCACTTCTAAGGCCTGGTACATCATTTCATATTCTCAGCTCAGATCAAACACTGGCATTACTACCACAGTCAAAAAAAAAAACAGGTGGGAGGGTATTTACAGAATTTGAGAAGCTAAAACCAGATTAAGAAAGGAATGTCCTGACCACAGCCCTGTTAACATTTACTGTACATCATGCTCTCTTTAAAGCTGTGTTCTAGAGTCTAGTGACAGACCTGACTCCCAGCATTCATGTAAATAGAGCATTTTCAGACTTAAGATCTTACCACTGAGAAAACTTTGAAAATAACAAAATAGAATATGAAGACTCTAAACCAAATAAGCCAAGAAAACTCCATCGTGTATTATTTTTTAATCGCTCTGGGTTTTTTAATTATTTAGGATTTTAGGATTAATTATTTAGCATTTTAAACACGGGGCTGCTTACTGAAGGTCTTGTAAAATTGTTACTCTTCCAAATCAAGAAGAGGATTTTTTTTTGTTTGATTTACAAGAACAAATTGATTGGTTCTCCTGTATTAATTTGATCTTTACATCTAAAAATGCCGTAGCTTTCTTTTCATTATTGTAACGTTTACATAATTAATTTTGTAGGATACTGAAAGTAACCATCCATTTGGTAGTATGAAGTCTGTGTTTCTTGTATATTTTTAGTAAATTTTTTGCACTATGTCATTTGATTAGATTGGATTATATAAAGCAAGTTTCTGCTGAAATCACAGATATACTTGCCCTCTTAAATCAAACAGCTGAATTTTTGTCTCTTTCAAAACTCCTTTAAACAAAGGGATTTTACACTATGAAGCTGTAAATAAAAATGCCTTTTTTACTTACACACTGGAGCGCTGCTGCAACCCTTGAAGTCATGAGACTTCAACAGTCTCTCTAAACACTAAAGTCAGTAGAGCCCAAACCACAAACTATCATAGATTTGATTCTGACAACTTAGCTGAGAGCAATTAATAAAACTCCAGGTGAAGACATATTTCAACATATCACCTCTGCTTCAGTTGGTAAGTGACATGTCTGAAGCTTCTACTAAATCTAGATGATCTACTTACTTGAGGCAATATGAAGTAATAAGGATAATTTTTACCACAGATTCTTGTCTTTTTGAAAAGACTTTCAACACAAAAATCACTCTTCTCTCACTGTCAAATTGCTGCAGGTGAGGCAGTGCTTGCATTAGAGCTAGCAGCCTCTGCATTACAAGAAAGGTTATTCACAGGCATCACAGTGAAGCATACTAGTTCTCCCAAATCAAGAAGAGAAAAGACATTTCAAATTTACTAGTTTATTATTTTGAACATCTGATATGATCCCCCTTCTGTTCCTCCTCCTAGTCCCACTATTCTACAGAAAGACCAGGCAGAAAGGTGGGGAAAGAAATGGCTGTTATCTGTATTCTGATTTACAGGAAATACATGCAGATTTTTAACTGAAAATTACAACTGGAATACTGAAAACTACAAGCACATAAAACAGCATTTATTCTTACCTTTTAGCCTCCAACGTAGTAGATAACCCTGAACTCACATACTATATAAGATACATAGCATGCAACATACATTAATTACATCAATAAGTGATGCTTTATCACACTGTTCATACTCCAAGAGACTACCAGTGAGGGTTGAGGTGGTTTTAAACTTATTTCTATATAGTAAAGTAAATTCAACTTTGAAAATACTCTAGATCTTAAGTCACTGCTGACTGTGAATCATTATGTGGTCTTCAAGCGAAAAACATTAGAAAACACAAATGACCACGACTTAGTGCTTGGAGGTTAAAGACGCATAATGCATATAATTTTTACATTGTTTCCTTTTGAGAACAGAAGTCATGGGGAAAAATCTAGGGAGCTGGATAAAGCAGTATCCTTTCAGGAGTTAAAAAAAACCCTGTTTTCTTTAGAATTGCAGTGTTACCTTCTTTCTACTGCAGATCTCTACAGCAAATTTATTTACTGAAAGGAGAAGCAAAGAAGAGGTCTCTGTTGCTGCTCTGTTTCAGAGTCTCTTTTGGCAACTCATAAAATTGCATGAGGAATTTGGTGGAAACTTGTTTACAAATCAGAAACCTGAAATTCAGAATTGTGTAACTCTCAAGGACATAAATAGGAGGAAAAAAAAAAAACGAAACAGAAGAAAACCCACAGGAAGTTCATATTCTCAGATTTCACTGGACTGTTGTGGCATATAGCCTACAATCATCAAGAAAGGTAAGACAGCTAACTCCTGCATGTTCTTAAAAGTTGCCTTTCTAGGTGTTAGAATTTTGATGATTAAAATATAGGAACCTTAAGCCGTCTTTTGGATTTTCCTTTTTTTTATTTTAAAAAAACCCAAATGATTCTCTGATTTTCATTCTCTCTGTCAAGTCCAGATTGTTTTCTTCTAGCTCTGTGCACTTTGATTTCTCTAATCTATAGCAGCGGGTTTTATTTTATTCTATCTGCATCTCCAGATTAAGGAACCTTTTTGGACAGTTTGTTTTGTTTTGTGGGGTTTTATCAGCTCAGAGTTAGTCATGTAGAACCAGTACCTTCTAAATAATCAAACTCATCTTAAATGTTCTTCTGAACGGTCTTTTTCAATTGTACAGTAAAATTTGAATAACCCATACTTACTTAGAGAAGGCCCATGGAGAATTGCACAGTTGGGACAATGGTATAGATCAATGTCAACGGCATGGTGCTCCTCTACCCCAACGCAGCTGGAATAGTATTTTAAAAATGTTAATGAGAATACATGCAAGATTTATTTTTCAAGTTGAAAATAATTAAATCTTAAGTCTTTACCAGAACATGCTTAGTCTACAAAAACGTAATGAGATACCAAATTATATCAACTACTAGGTTGCCACATAAATTTTGAGTAATAATTTGTTTATCACTGAACAAAGAATGCCATTTTTTTAAAAAATTGTAAAAAGGAAACAAGAATCAAATTTATTTAAAAATTATCCCACAATATATACCATTACCCCTCATCCCCCAAAAAAGCTTTGATCCTAATTGCAGGAAACTGTTTACACAAAATCATTCAAGCCATTTGCCTTATAAAAGTTATGATTTTAAAAAAAATCAGAAGTCTATCTACTGACAATTTATAGAAGATACCACGGATTTTTTTCTTGTCTTTTTTTTCTGCAAAAAGCACATAACTGACTCCTACCTTCAAGACAAATCAATGAAGAATACTTTCATATTCTTCCCAAAATCTTTACACTACTAGTACTAGCTAAGTAAGTTACACGCGTGACCACACAGATCACTTTGTAGATGTGTTTTTGTTTTAAAATAGCAACAAGTATTTCAAAGAGCACTTGAGAGATGTTAATGTTCTCCCAGTGCACGTTTTTTCCCAGATCAACTTTAATCCCACTTTGACTGTTTTAAGATCCTTATAACAGTCATGACAAAACTCTACACTGCTAGACATCTAAATAGCACAGTTTTAAAGCCAAAATTAAGCACATTTTCTTAGAAGTCGAAACACTAGAGCTTAATTGAAGATGTGCTTTTGTACAAAGTTCTCAAGAAAAGAAAGTAATCCCTACTTGCTGGTAGAACGTGAATCCCGTCAGAGTTCTTTCTCTCATTGACACTTATAAAATTGCTGACTTTATAATACAGAAGCAAGACTACAACACTGAACATTTACACCAAACTTAGGTATTTATATTCAATGCATTCCAGTAGCATGAGAACTTGAACACTACTCTATTCAGGTAACCCGTTTCATATCAAAAGTGTAATGACAGCTTAAGCACTGAAGCTTTGAAATGACCCAGCTACAAGTAGTCTTTTCCCTAGCAGCCCCGTGCCAAAACTGCCGACGCGATCCAGTAAGCGTCAGTACACGCTGCCAAAACAATACACTGAACAGCCTAGCATTCGAAGCGCACCAATGAGCAAATAAAATCTGAAACTGAAGAGCATCTCCCATGTAACTATCAGTGAGTAGTACACCATTCTGAATTCTCTGTAAACAGATTCAGCTGGTTCTACTTCTCCATTCACTACATACCACATGAAATTTAGAAATTATATAGCTTTTTTATATACATACTATTTTAAAATCTAAACACAAAACTCAGCTGCCACAGTTCATCACAATTCTTGCAATATTTAGTATCTGTTTTAAGACCACAACTATGGGAATTGTTATTACATGAAAATTCAGCTGACATACAAACAAAAAGGAAGGCAGAAGCAGTCTTTAAAAATGCATGCCCCATTTCCTTCTGCTTGTGTTCTCTCTCTTTTTATAGAATAGATGAGTGACTCATAATCCTATGTATTATAAGAAGACTGTTTTAAAATGTACACTCTAAAAGCCCCAAATGAGAAGGCTGGTTTTAAACATCCTTAGGAATCCCTTTATTCTAGCTAAATTTCTCATTTTTGAACAGCTAAAGATATTTATGTTGGACTGTATCTTGATCAAGTTTGCACAATTATTCAATGAAACACAGTGCTCCACAGGAAAACTTTACTTACTCCCTTTCCTTTTTCTTGGTGTTTATCTGATACAGTCATTATCACCCCAATCAGATTATCTTCTGACTAACAGTAAGAACGTTGCAGCAAAGCATAGTAAAAATACCTTCAAGCTCTGACAATTGTCATATCCTGTTTAAGAATGTTAATTTTATTGTCTCTTAAAGAATGTTATGGATAGCCTGAAAATAAAGCAGAAAATCTGTTAAGTACTAACCACTTTCTCTGACTTGATTAATTCCGTAACCTTTCATGAAGGCACATGGGGCTTTGTGCACAGAGACAGCAGGTTACACTGGAATGGTATTAGAATAGCTGGAATTACCATTCAATAAAGAAAGCAAACATTTTTGGTCTACTATTTATGCTCTAAACTCAGAACTAACCGAATAAGCAAAACACTAACTGGAGATACTGGAAGAGAATCTAGTAGCAGATGCCTAAGTGATGCAAAGGGCAAATGAGGTGCCAGCACCTGCAAGAACAAGCATTGCCAAGGATGCCACAGAGAATATCAATCACATACAGCACCATTACAAGTCACTTTGCTGAGTCCATTTCTCCAACATACACAGATGAATGCGACATTAATCATTCTGGCTACTAGCAAGCAATCAATTACTGTGGTAAGTGCAACTTCAGACCTCAAGCATCAAAGCAAGGTCACCAAGAGGTAGCAGAGAGCCTGGAAACCATTAACATACTCAAACACAGTAACGCTCCCAATCCACCGATGTTTTTCTGGATGAAATATCATTACCATCCTTCATCTCGCCATCCATTCGGGTTTAAATGTCTTTAGTATATATTACCTAGTTTCTGAATTGCTATTCTCCTGCAGGGAGCCTGTAGACTAATCCTTGGTAACAGTGGAAAGTTTACAGTATTACAAAACAAAATATAATAATAAGAAGAAAAAGCAACTGTAGGTGACTATGCAAAATACAACTCTAATTCTGTTCATGAAGGTGGAAGGCCTGAACAGGCCCAGTTTTACTTGAAATGGTTCTAGAAGCAGTAGTAAGGTAGGAAAATTTAGTCACAAATAGACTCCATGGTATCAGTCTCTCAGTGGTAAGACTTTCCTAACTTCCCCAAGGTGTCTAGTATCAAGGTAGGGTCAGCAAGAGGTACTAAAAGAATTGGGGAAGTGCTAAGTTTTTTCACGTACAAGAATATGCCCATCCCTGGCAACTGAAGAAATCAAAGTTCGAGGAACCAACTTTCCAGACTTAAGGCTCACCAGCAGGTAAATGTTTTTGATTTAGTCTCAACTTTCCATGTGATTATTATATTTGTAGCTATGTAAAAGGAGCAAGTGTAAATTAAAAACAATCAGAAGAGGACTGTCTAACATATCTGATAGATACCAATGGACCTCTGCTTTTCTGTAAAGGGAAAACAAGGCTTCTTTCACAGGGGAAAAAAAATCCTGCAGAAGCTGTTCTCTACTGAGTATTGCTACTAATTTAGAATTTAAGAGATGAGTACAGATAATTCAGTATGACAGATTCAACAACCATTTCACAATTATGCTGGGATGCCTTGTACAAGGAGTTTGCAGAAGTCCAAAACATTTACAGGAAGACCTCACAACGGCGCAGTAAGCCACCCAAAGCACCTGGCACCTCTTCTCTCCTACAGCAGCACGACTGCTGTGCCTTCCAGATCTAATACCTGCTTGCTCTCAGTCCAGTCTGGCATTTCTCTTCCCTACTTCTGATGTTATCAAGCACAACCACAACATTTTAGAGACTGCTTAACTGCCTCTGTTGGAAAGAATCCTGGTTCAAGAAAAAAATCCAAAGCACTCTTGATTCAAGGCCTTATTTTCAGTGTCTTTAAAGGGACACAACTACTTGAAAAGCTATTATATCTTATTAAAACAAGTAGTGTATATACTCTGCCATTATATAAAATTGCAAGTGTAAAACTGAATGATTACACACTTAGCATGACAGAAGTCAAGATACAAGTAAAGTTGGAATGCCCATTTTTCCCAAAATGGGAAATGGGTTGGAATGCCACAGCTGAAAAGAGTAACAGGACAGATTATCAACTGTCAGCAAGATACTCCTGCTAGGAAATTTCTGAGATTTCCTGTATACAAGGCACACTGAAAATATATAGTTGAAGGCCTTATTTCAGTGTGACACCATCCTCTCGGGCTCCAACTTTTGTTCCTTTCCCCCATCACTTCAATTCCATAAGCTCCTTTTTCACCTCTTTAAGTAGCACATGGAAAACAATCTAACAGACTCTTCCTCCTAGGTGCAATTGTACTTCTTATGAAGCTTCCTGCAGTAGCTTCTACTTCTGTCAACACCAGTGTGACACTTTGTACCTATAAGCTTCACCTAGTAGATGAGGAAACATGACAGGCCATCACAGGAACGTCGACTACTTCTTCAACAAATACTATTACATAGATATTGTTTTACAATTAGATATTGATTTACAGCTCAAAATTGAGCCAAAGGGGATTTTTTAAGTCTCTTACTTTCTTCTTGGGACACACAAAATTCAGGCCCAAAGACCTCTTGGTTTTCCACAGTCTGACCTAAACAGTTTGACTTTTTTACTGTCGTTGTGCAGCAAAAATGCAGGTTCAAGACTCTTACTAGCATGTTTAAGTTAGCACAATGCCTTGCATCTTTTCCAGGCTATAAAATCAGTGCAAATCACATTTTCCAAGATCCCCCAACATTCTCCCGGAATAAACACTATGGGTAATGTTCTTTTTCTTTTTCTACTACTATTTTATTTCTGAACAAGAACTCAGCACATCCTCTTCTTCAAGTCCACCCTTGCATCAGAGCCCACAACTTCTCCTTGTCATGCCTCAGAGACCACTGCAGGTTTTATCCCATAAAAGGATGAAAAAAAAGCACACGACATCCAGTAGGAAGAGATTAACAAAAATCCTGAAACAGTGAAAAAATTCTAGGGGTGTTACAGCATGTTCCCCGTTACTAGGAATACAGGGCTATAGACTATTACTAGGCATGTTTCCTATTAACTCCTGCCCATTATCTGACATAGCAGGTCCCCAAAATCCTTTTTCAGTTTCCAGTTATCCACAGAACAGCTGAGAAGATATATAGATAAGTGGATCTCTACTGTTTCTTAACAGGGATGAGGAAAGGAATAAGTAAATTCTAAAGGTAGCAAAGACTCATTAGCACCAGGAGAGTCTTAATTGCCTGAAAACTGAAG